GTGCCAGTTGTAGTAGTATCACTATTGATGCGCTGATGTGCTCACCATCATCATCATCATCAGCAGCATCACCAGCATCAGCATCATCAGCAGCATCAGCATGATCAGCATTATCATCATCTGTATCTCCATCTTCAAGAGCAGCATCATCAGCAGCAGCATCATCAGCAGCAGCATCAGCATCATCATCAGCATCATCATCAGCAGCATCAGTATCGGTGTCGTCGTCGCCGTCGTCGTCATCGTCATCGCCGTCGTCGTCATCGTAATCGTCATCGTCGTCAACATCATTGTCCTCCTCATCATCATCAGCATCATCATCGTCATCATCATCAGCATAATCACCATCAAAATCAACACCACCACCCCAATACTCATCAACAGCATCATCAGCAGCAGTATCTACATCACCCTCATCAGCCTCATCAGCAGCAACAGCCACATCAGCATCACCATCATCTTCCTCAGTATCAGCATCAGCCTCATCGTCATCATTACCATCATCAGCATCAGCACCATCATAAGCATCAGCATCAGCATCATCATCAACAACAGCAGCATCATAATCAGCATCGCCATCGCAATTGTCATCGTCATAGTCATCGTCCTCAACATCGCCATCGTCATCATCCTCGCCACCACCACCATCATCACCATCGCCATCATCGTCGTCGGCACCGCAAGCATCAGGAAATCGTCAGCACCCCATATCCCCCAAATCCCCGTTCCACCATCCATAATCCCTCCTCACCCTCCTCCATCCTTCCTTGCCCCTTCTCCTCCTCCTCCAATTCCTTCCTCCTCCTCCTCCTCCTCCTCCTCCTCCTCCTCCTCACCCTTATCCTCCTCCTCCGTTTTCCTCCTCCTCCTCCTCCTCCTCCTCCTCCTCCTCCTCCTCCTCCTCCTCCTCATGTGGCGATCCGAAAGGGAACGCGCTTCGCCCCAAACACCCTCTGATCTTTTCTCGGCCGAAGACGAAGTCTTCCCTCCCTGCCTCCTCTGCGTATCGGGAAGGCCGCCTCCACTCGCACGCCGAAGAGGCCTGGCCGTTCACGATCCTGGCGGTGGCCCAGGGCGTGTCGTCCACACCCTTGAGGCCGCAGGGCGGCGCGGGCTGCGGCGTGGGCGGCGTGGTCGGTGCCTGGAGGCATCCGCCCTCCTGCTCCTGCTCCTCCTCCTCCTCCTCCTCCTCCTCCTCCTCCTCCTCCTCCTCCCCTCCTCCCCCTCCTCCTCCTCCTCCTCCTCCTCCTCCTCTCCTCCTCCTCCTCCTCCTCCTCCTCCTCCTCCTCTCTCCTCCTCCTCCTCCTCCTCCTCCTCCTCCTCCACCTCCTCCTCCTCCTCCTCCTCCTCCTCCTCCTCCTCCTCCTCCTCCTCCTCTTCCTCCTCCTCCTCCTACGGTCAGTGGAATACTGCTGCCACGGTGAATTTGATATGCACGTGTCTCGAGGTATCTCTGAAGCGATCTTCACGCATGAACCCTCGCCACGTCTGCAGCCCTTGTTTGAAAGCACGGCGCGAAAACGATGCTACAGCCCGCAGCCGCCGCGCCCTACCCTCGCCCACTCTGTATCGCGCCAAGGCGCTCCTTCAGCCCATGCCGACAACACGGGTACGCTCCAGCACTGGATCTGTAAAAAGGAAGCGCGCTCCAGCAGCCCACGGCGTGCAACCCAGTGCTGACTTTACCTAGCGAGAACGTTCCCAGTGCGAGCAGACAGTGGATGCGACTTCGCCGTCACCGTCGTCGCTACCGTCGTCATCGCAGTCGCCGTCACCACCATGGTCGTCGCCGCCCTCGCCGTCGCCGCCGTCGCCTCCGTCGACGCCAGCGCAATTTCCGCCGCCGGCGTCGACGTTGTGCCGCCGACTTCGCCGTCGCCATGTCGTCGTATTCGCTGTGGTCTGGGCATCAAGTCTCACTGTCAAAAGATCTCACTGAGAGCGGGAAGGAGGAGGAGGAAGACGGAGTGAGTGAGTGAGTGAGTGAGTGAGTGCGTGAGTGAATGAGTGAGAGCGAGAAAGAGAGAGAGAGAGAGAGAACAACAAAAAAACGATCGCGGTGCGAGTCGAAAGCGAACTACGAAAGCTTGCGAGCTTCTTGGCCTTGCTTAATGTTTTGGGCCATCGATCGGACTGTACCCGACTTCACTATTCGCGCTGAATCGCATTCGGAGCCCCAGGGACACACATGTGGCCCAGATTCCTGATGATTCCATTGCCGTTAAAGCCAAAGTCCGCACAGAACCAGAGCTTCTGGATTCTATGCATGTTCATGGAATTAGACGCGTGGACCCAACCCCCTGCCACACGCAATGGCACCCTCCTTAGCCAACGCCCCAGAAGGGCCATCCATGTAAACAGGAGTGAAGCACGCGCTATGAAGCTATGCGTCGCGAGTGGATGACGTGGCCGAACTACAACAACGCAGGCACTTGTTCTCGCGATCGTCAACTCTTTGGCTCGCGGTGAAGACACGGCGCAGTGACGAAGCAGGGGGAGGCGGAGGAGACGGCAGCACTGGCTCTCGTTTCCCTGGGCTGCCCTGGCAGCATGCTACGCCTCAGCCTCGGCGCCGAGGGAGTCAAGCGTCGCCCGCGCAGGCCGAAATCGCATCTGACGCGCCCGCCTCTTTCCGCGCGAACCACCTCATACGCGAGCCCCGGCGGCCGCTGCCAGTGCCAGCTGACCTGCGGCCGCGCCGCGCCAGATGCCAGGGAGCGCGCCCTGCGATCGAGCCGGCGCCCGCGAGGTGCGAGCCCACCCACAAGACTACGAAGCCCGCCGGGTCTCGGCCCCGCAGGGCGCCGCCGATCCGACGCCACAAATCTGCATCTTCACCCATTGGTCGCCAATACCGCTGCTGGCACCAGCCGTCGGCCACCACGGCGCCGTCGGCGGCGACGCGCGCGAGGCCTTCGGCAGCTCGCGCCGCCACCAACATCGCGCACTGCTCACCACGAGGCACGCTCCGTCGCGCCAACTGGCAATCCTCCAGCGACCGCGGACCCCATCGCCAGCGGCTCAAAGCACGCGCGGGCCCAACCCAGTTGAGCGTTGAGAGGCTGGCGACCATTCGTTCTTACAACATCCCCATGCATGATGAAACACCTATTCCTTTTCCGACTGGCACCGAAGACATCGATCAGGCAACCGCAGCTTGACGGCTTTGTCACCAGCAGCCTCCACGCCACAGTTTCTCGGCCAACTCCCGCCCGTGGCTAGAGAAGCGCGCCCCACTACTCGCAAAGTCGCCGATCGCAAATGGCATGGCTCCACCGCAGGGAATGCACAATACATTACACAAAGGCAGACGCATGGCTTGTCGGACGTTGGCGAGTGGGCACTTCGCGAGTAGAGGAAAGCGCTCGGCGAGCGGCGACCATGCTAAGCACCTCGGCCATGCGACCAGGCTCGCGGCGAACTCAGCAGCTGCGGGCACGTGCGCCGCAAAGACAAAATCCACGCCCATCCTCAATGGTGTCGACTGGCGCCCTCCCAGAAGCGCGCTCAGATCGACGTCTGCAGGTCGTGCATGACATGATTGGGCGCATCGACATCAACAATTCCTGCCCATGCTGCACATGGACACTGCCACTCTACAACCTCGCCAGACGCAGCGGCTGGCACAGCCCATGTCGGAGCTGCCATCGGACCCATCCATTGTGCAAAAGAAGACTCACCACCTCCGACATGGGCCCACGAACGCGCCGCCAACGTTGGGTCGGCTCAACACCCCGAGGATGCTGGACAACTGATGGCCACGCTTGCACAGCACTTGGCCTCAGTTGACTCCCCAGCTGCCTCCTGCCGAACCACAGCCTGACACGCTCCTCAGGCATGCGCAATGCTGGGTCGCGCGGGGGGCTCGAGGGCGATCAGGGTCGCGAGACACCGACCCTGCGCCGTCGACACGCGCGCTGGCCCGAGCCTTCTCCTGCACGCCGTGGAGTACGAGCCGAAGGCCCCGTGGATCTGGCAGGCGCACGGCCCCACCGCGAAAGCACCAAGCCGCTCCAGCTTGGACGTGATATTGCAGCGCCTGCCACGCACTGCACACTTACGAATACAACCACGCATCCTGCCGTACTTTTCGAAGAGCGCTCGACTCGCGATATACGCGCGCGCGCGCGCGCCGGCCACGCCCGAGGTCGGCCCCCGAACACTGAGCCGACTTCTGCGCTCGCACCTCGAAGCCTGACCGGCGCAATGCACGAGACACTCGCGTGGCATCAGCATGGATCAGGCACGTGACAACGCTCTTCTTGGCCACGCGCAACTCCAGCTTGGCTAGCTTACGACATGTGGCCATCGTACCGCAAATTAACGCTGCAAGACCAGACTTGCGGGTGCCCGCGACCTTCTGCGATATATCATTGATCCATATGCGAGGGCTCATCCTCGGGCAAGATGCGCAGATCTTCTGTAGGGCGAAGAAGACCATGGGAGTCGAGGAACGCGTCACACGCCTCAAAACGCAGTCTTTGGACCTCTGATTGCGTCGCGTCCAGCGGCATTGCCCACGCGCCGCACTGGCCCAACGATCGGGGCGCCATACACTGCAGCACTTCCAAGCATGCGATGGCCGCAGGGATGCCCAAGCGCACTCCGCTGGGGACGAGGTACCGCCACTGGATCGCATCAAAAAGAGCTGCGGCATCAAGAAGACCATGACCTATGGAATGCGAAGTGAATGCCCGACCTCCTCACGCAGAGCGCGGACGAAGGCCTCCCTCAACGCAGCGTGCCCACGGATCGCCGCGTCCCAGCGGGCCTCCGTCGCTCGCTCAACCCGCGAGCACACGGCGCTCTGAGCAGCGACCACAACCTGCAAAACACTGCCGAAAATCCAACGATGCGGTGGCCGACACTCTTTTTCGGCAATAACCTGCCAAGCACAAGCACGACCTACCGCGGCCACGCCACGGCACCCTCGATGGCCACGTAGAGCTCCGCGAGCTCGCCCAATGCAGAAGCTGGGAAGCGCTCGAAGCCGAGCGGTCTGAGGCGGTCGCATCCCATGCCCGAGCTGGCCCGCATCGAATGCGCAACAGCTCGGATCTGATCGTCCGTGACGGGCGGGAGGGACTCGATGGCGGCCGTCTCACGCGAAACACGAAACGCTCCACGCAACTCATCTGCATCGTCACGGCATAGACACGATAACCTTGTGGATGCTAGGACAATGGAACCCCTAACAATCCTATCATTGAATTTAAAATGGGTTTAAAAAGTCTGAAAATGTTCTAAGCATGATTTAAACATGTGTTTTACATATTTAACACCTGTTTGAAACATGTTTTAGACATCTGGAAATTATTTGGCAACACGCTTCCTCTCCATTGACTGTCCTCCACAACGATAACCTCCTCCTCCTCGTTGGCTGCGTCGACAGGCTGCTGGCCCGCCTCATCGCCGCCGCTCGCAGCCGCTACTGCGCTGCCTGCGGCGTCAGGCGCATGGTCCCGGCCTTCTCGAGAACCGTGGAGATGTCCAACTCCTTGGTGCCAAAGCTCCTGATGCACATTCTTCAACACCTCGAAGACGCGCTTGAATTCCTTGCGCTCGGCATCCTCGCAATCTGATTCCCCTAGACCTGAGAAGGGTTCCTCGTCCCACGTCACCTTGAACTTTGGCCTCATGCTCGATGCCTCGGCGGTCGTTGTGTCGCCGCCGACGCCCTCGGCGTGGGTCATCGCGATGGTGGCAGCTCGGCTGGCACGTTCAGTTTCAGCGAGTGCTCGGGCCGCCATCTTTTCCTTCCCTTCTGCATCTTTCAGATGATCTTGTACCCGACCTACTGCAACTACAGCCTGGCTCTTGTTCCTTTTCCAGAGCACCCACTGCACGTTCCACTGCATCCACCTCAGCCCCCCGGGATGGAAGCCGTTGCGCCGGTGCCCTGGGCCAGCTCCGCCTGGAGCGCCGCCTTGGACACAGGGTTAGTGGCCGGCTGCTCCAACTGTACCTTCTTCAGCACCTCGTAGTCCGACACTGGCTTCGAGTACAGTGAGGAGCCTGTCGTTCCACTCGTGCTGTCCGCAGGTAGCACACGTCGACCAGGTACGAACGAGTTCTCACTTGTACTTACCGCATTTTCGAATCACCACTTGCGGCAAATTTGTGGATGAAGTTTGGACCCCCAAGCACAACGCGGAGGCACAGGACGGTGGACTCTCTGCCAAAATGATATGAGCCCAAGTTGCTTGAGCAGGAGAAGGACGGAGGAGGGAAGAGGAGGGAGGAGGAGTGAAGGCGGGAGGAGAGAGGAGTTAGAAATTGGAGGAGAAGGAGAATGAGGGAAAAGGAGGCGGGGGAAGGGGGAGAAAGAGGAAAGAGGGAGGAGGGAGGAGGAGGAGGAGGGGAGGAGGAAAAGGAGGACGGAGGAGGAGGAGGAGGAGGAGCCCAGGGTAGAGGTGGAGGAGGAGGAAAGGAAAGGAAAAAGGGGGAACGAGTAGTTCTTCCTCATGTTCCTCCTCCTCATCCTGCTTATCCTCCCTCGTCCTCCCTCATCATCGCACTTCTCCGCCTGCTCCGCATCCTCGTCTTCCTCCCCCTCGTCGCCCTTCCTCCTAAAAGACAACTAGTCCCTGCCGCACCACTTAACGTGTCCGTAGCCTGGTCTGGGCCCCGTCTGGGCGGTTCGCTTCAGACTTCCGCTCCAGCTTACTATCCCGAAGCTCAAACCTTCCGATAGCTGCACGCATGGAGGGGTCAGCCGCGTTCAAAGTGTGGCTCTCGCGTGGGCGCCAGGCAGATTCGCCTTAAAAGCTTCCGGCGGCAACGAGGGTGGAGGGCCCGTCGTTTTCAAGATGTGGCCCTCACCTGAGCGCCGTACACATTCGTCTTAAAAGCATGTGTAGACCAAACGGGAGCAGGCCGACACTTGTTCTAAAATGAGGCTCTCGCCAGAGATATCGAGATCCCCTTGACAAGTATTATCACCAGTCTGGCATGGCGTCTCTCGCCTGGTACTTCGTCTGGCCCTCTATAATTATAACAGTTTATACCTACACGGATGCAGGGTGGTCGCTTTTCAAAGTGGGGCTGCCGGTGGTCATATCTGAAAACCCACCGTGCTGCATTCCTTACAGCTTGAAGGACGGAGGGCGGTTTCCTTCAAAACAGCTCCCGTTTGCACTGCGGGCACATGGGGCGCTCGTCGTTCATGGGGGCACACAGTAAACGAGAGCACCTGTAGGAACTGATGGGAAGGGCCCTTGGGACGGAGGGGTGCGCTGCAGCACTGTTAACCCCACGGAAGCGGGCCTTAGTGTGCTCTCAAGGCTGTCGCGGAGCTTCGCGCCAAAGAGAGGAATGGATGCACTGACACTGATTTGACCGGATGACTGTATTATAAGTGGGGCCCACGCTTGTCAAGGCGCGCCCAGCTGAGCCAGGTCTTTCCTCTCCTCCTCCTGACAGCCGTACAGACGCCGCCCAGAGGGCGGAAGGGTTGTGCGCGAAAGTGCTGGCTGACCGCTAATGTAGCTGCCGTGGCGGGGGGAGTGAGGGGACGGAGAGGGCGTAGCTTCCGCTATCTACCGTCCGGCGGAAGCCCAGACTCTGGCTGGCATTCAAATGCGCGCCAGCTCACCACACGCCCTTCAGGATGTGGCATCATCCAGCTGCGGTTGCTTAGCGAGCTGCTATGGTCTGGGCTGCACCTTGTTGGATGGATCCCTGAAGCTTGACCTGCAGCCTGCAGACGGTGGGAGGCTAGGTCGAACTACTCCTGCTCGTCCTCGAGGTCATCCTTCCAGCTCAGTCCCGTGCCCATGTCGCAGACAGCAGCGAGGGTTTCGTGGTTGGGGAGCCCGCCAGCAGCGCGACTCGCTGCGATCGCATGCATCATCCTGCGGCGATACTGCTGGTAGTCCGGGAAGGTCCCTTGGATTTCTGACTGGCTCACGCCAGCGCTGCAACGTGAGGGCTTTTGCCACGCAGCAGTAACTGGAGCGTTTGAATCGGCGAGCGAGTCGCATGCACTCGAGTCGCTTCAGCCCCATTCTCTTCGACGTAGCTGTCTTAGCCTGGCCGTCGAAACCAGCGGGAAGGCCGTCGTCCTTCTCCAGCGCATCCCCGCCCTCGACCAGCGTCTCTTGCTGTCGGAGTTGGACATGGTCAATTTGGCCTGGATGAGCGACGCCGTTCCCGCTCTCTGGTGGGAGGGTGGAAAGGCACATCCTTCCTCCTGGGACTCACTCGATGGTGCACTCGCCTTTGTACTCCTCGTCCTGCTGAGGCGCCTCCTACTCGTTGGAGTTGGCGCGCTGGTGGTCCTCCTCCTTGTCAGTGTCGCGAACGACGCGGAGGCTGAAGACCAGGCACCTGCACCGTGCGTTCTTCCTGGTTGGCTCTCAGACATGTTGTTGGCCCGTGGGCCTGTGGCGGCTTTGGGCTTCTGCCAGGTCCTCCCCCATCTGCGGATCTGCTGGCCCCTCGGGGCTGGTGCGCCAGGAGGCGCCCTGGGCCGTTGGCTGCGCTGCGGAAGCAGGCCAGGTCTGCACCTCGTGGTTCTCGACGTTCTCCTCTGGGTTGCTGCCCCCCCTTGTCCTTCGCGGACAGCTGGTTGTCTTCGTTCGTGATGGCGCGGGAGAAGGCTCTTCGCACGGAGGCAATCGCAATGGTTGCGAGGTTGTCCGTCGTCGGGTACGGCACGGAGAGGTTGCGGGACTCCCTGGGAGAGATGGCGGCGGCTTCCGTGTTGAGCCCACTGGGCAGATGTGCCCCAGAGCTAGTGGCATCTGGGCTGCCCGCTCTGTCAGGAAAGCCACTGTCTTCTTGATCGGCGCAGCGCGGCACTCGGACGATCACGTACTTACAGAGATGGTGGTGGCGCAGCTCCTGGTTGTATGATCCACGAGCAACGCACACTCAAACCTGTAGGAAGGAGGAATGGAGAAGGGCAAGGCGATGAAGGCGCTATAGGTACGGGTGCGAATTGTCGGACCCCCGAGGGGAGCTCCCGTTCAAGCAGGGACACCCATCCGACAACACCCACCATCACCCCCACGGAATTCCACCTAGGAATGCAGAGGGACGTATACGTAGGGGTGGGTGGTAGTTGTCAGCTCGTGGTTCCAGATGCTGCGGCCGACGGACGGCTGCTGTTTGCCCGTGTCGGCGACTGATGCTGCCAGCCTGCCGGCACCACCGGGCGCAGACGGTGGACCCGTCCTGGCAGCAGACCCCACCCGGACCGCTCTTGCCCCAGGGCGTCCCGGCAAAGCCCCAGCGCGAGCCCTGCCGGATGCGTCGGTCCCGCAGCCATTTCTCGGCATCTTTCCGTAACCGCTCCTCACATTTCCTTTCGACCGCACTCCCACGACCGGTGCTCTGGCACGGGCTCTCCCTGGCAGACAGGGAAAGAACACCCCAAGACTCCGTAAATGGTCGGGGGCAGGCGCCGGCGCTAGCGCCTGTCCTCCTCCTCCTCCTCCTCCTCCTCCTCCTCCTCCTCCTCCTCCTCCCCTCTCCCTCCTCCTCCTCCTCCTCCTCCTCCTCCTCCTCCTCCTCCTCCTCCTCCTCCTCCCCCTCCTCCTCCTCCTCCTCTCCTCCTCCTCCTCCTCCTCCTCCTCCTCCTCCTCCTCCTTCATCTTGCTCCTTCCCTCCTCCACCTCCTCCTCTTCATCCTACTCCTCATGTCCCCTGCCCCCTGCCCCCTGCCCCCGCCACTTCTCCTCCTCCTCCCCCCCTTCTGGCTACCTATCAAATCCACCCCAACCCAACCCGAAGTCACCGTTGGGATCGTCGATTCCTGGTGAGGGGGCGCTCCAGAACATTGAGGAAATACGATGGAACCCGTACACCCCCCAACCCGAAATTTGGGGTGGGCCTTCGGGTTCTGGGAGGAAGGCTCGGTAAGTAGTGACCTTATCCTCCTGCCGAACTACCCCAGACATCCAAGCGTCGTGAAAAAACACGTCGAGCGTTTTCTCCCGACTCCGGCACCCTGGCGAGCATGCCCGCACCGCTGGGCTCCACGAAAGAAATACGGCGAAAACCTGACCCTGGGCACAGGGTCGCCAGCTCTGGATTCCCCGCCATGATAAAGCCACGGCGCCGCAGGTCTGGGGTGCGAGCCCCAGATCGCACTCCACGCGGCCGATTTCGCCTGCGACGCAACAGCGACGCAATGATGAGCGCTCCTGCGTTCTGGGAGCCCTCCCTACCAAGAGGGCAGAGGCACGCACGGCCGCACCCACGTGCGGAGCATGCGAAGGCCACGGGCTGGACGCACATGCGGAGCATGCGGAGGCCACACGCGGGTGCGCGCTGAATGCGGATGCGCTCTGCCCTCGTGCGGCCGGCATGCCCAGCCGCACGAGCGCCAAGCCCTGCAGAGACGCGCGGCCACACGTGTGCTCAGCTCCCGGCCAGGCCAGCCAGTGCATCCGGCCTCCTGGCGCTCACATTTGGGAAGCCAGGGGGGGCGCCGGCGTGGGCTCCGGGGAGAGGACGATGGTGTTCTCGATGGCCCAGTGGACAGCGGCGTACAGCGCCTGCGGCGCGGCGCGGCTGCGCGCGCGTGAGGGCTCTCATTCTGGGAGGGGGAAGGAGGAGGGCAAGGCTTGTGGGTGCCACGACAATGGACACCCTAACAGTCCTATCATCGAAATAAAAAATGTTTAAAATGTCGGAAGAATGTCCTGGATAAATGTCCTCGAAATGTTTTAACTATGTTTTTTACATGTTTAAAACAGTGTTAACACATTTTTTCTATATCTGGAAATCATTTGGCAACATGCTTCCTCTCCATTGATCGTCCTCCACAAGGGAAGGCGAGGGGAGACCACACGAGCATCCGACCATCGTCTCACACGCGCGCAGGCGTAGCGAGACACGCCGCACTTCCACTCCAAAATTCGGGCCAGGATCGGGGCGCGAGGCGAAGGAGGTGGGGTGTGCCCTCGCGGGTTGCACGCCCGAGTCCGAAGCGGACGGCCCAGCGGCCCCCAAAAAGGCTCCCGACAGGGTCCCAAGAGGGCCCCAGCACAACACACTATCGGGACGGCTGGCGTTTTGAGCACGGGGCCATGGGAGCTTTTGTTCGGGCTCCGGGCTCCGAGACAAATCAAAATAAAGGCGGTGCGGCCCCAATTAGGGAACAGCTGCCTAAGCAAATAACTAGGCAAGGAAGGCCTTGCTTTGCACTGCGCTGCGTTGCTTGTCATCGCTTCGCTTCGCATTGCGTTGAATTGCTCGGCGTTGCTTGGCGTTGCTTGGCGTTGATCTGCGTTGGTTCGCACTTATTGACATTGTTTTGCATTGCTTCGCGCTATTTGGCATTGCTTTGCGTTGCTTCGCGTTGCTTGGCATTGAATTGCTTTGCTTTACTTCGCATTGTTTTGCTTCGCATTGCATTGGTTGGCAATGCTTGCAAATGCCTGGCGTTGCTTGGCATTGCTTTACATTGCTTGGCAATGCTTGGCGTTGCGCTGCATTGCTTTGCATTGCTTCGCATTGCTTTGCATTGCTTGGAATTGCTTGGCGTTGCTTGGCATGGATTGGCATTGATTGGCACTGCTTGGCATTGAATGGCATTGATTTGCGTATTCGTTGCCTTGCGTTGCTTGGTATTGCCTGGCATTGTTTCACATTGATAGACAGCAAGGAACAACGACAAAGCAACCCGAGAAAGGAAACAAGACCAAGCAACCCCAGGAAGGCAGCCAAGAAACAGGAAGGCTGTCAAGGAACAAGACCAGGCAACCCCAGAAACGCAGCCAAGAAACAAGACGAAACAGCCCGAAAAAGGCCTTCAAGACACAAGTCCACGCAACCCCAGGAAGCCAGCCAAGAAATAAGACCAAGCAACCCGAGGAATGCCGTCAAGAAACAAGACCTGGCAGCCCGAGGCCGGCCCGCAGGCGCAGGCCTGGCACCCATCGGCTCCCCAGCAACAGACACGAACCCCGCAGGCAAGCCTGAGCAGAGAACTTAGCCTGACGAGAGACCCAACCACATGCACCTGCGAGAACCGCGAGAGAGATGAGACGAAGGAGAGGGGCACGCAGACCCCGAATAGCGCACGCGGTATACCGTCTGCTCTTATAGGCAGCGCGCCGCAGGAAGAACGAGGCGCGGGGCAGCGCGGGCACAGGGGGGACGAATAGGTGGAACGTCTGCGAACTTCCGGTGGAGCTCCTCATGGGCAACGAAACGCGTGAGGGGTGTGCCGAACGAAATGGGCGGGGGGGGGCGCATTCGAACGTCGCCACTGGGGCTTTGGAGCTTCACTACATACGAAACGTGTGATGGGTATGCCGACATGACTCGGTCGGACGCATGCGAACGTCGCCACTGGGGGCTTAGGTGGAGCTCCCTATAGGGGCACGAAACGTATGAAGAATGTGCCGAAATGGGTCGGGCGGACGCATGTGGACGCGCCCGCTGTATGTGGAGCTCCCTATAAGGCCACGAAGCGCCGTACTGGGTGTGGCGGACGCATGTGGGCACCCCCACGAGGGCCTTCGGTGGAGCTACCTATGGGGCCATGAAACGCTGTACCAAGCGTGGCGGACGCATGCGGGCACCCCCTACTGGGGCCTTAGGTGGAGCTCCCTATGAAAGCACGAAGCGCTGGACTGGGTGTGGCAGATGCAAGAGGGCCCCCCACTGAGGCCTTCGGTGGAGCTCCCCATGGGGCCACGAAGCGCTGTACGAGGTGTGGCGGACGCATGCGGGCACCCCCACTGAAGCCTTCGGTGGAGCTCCCCATGGAGCCACGAAACGCTGCACTGGGTGTGGCGGACGCACGCAGGCACCCCCTTTAGGGGCCTTCGGTGGAGCTCCGTATGGGGCAACCAAACGCTGTAATGCGCGTGGCGGACGCATGCGGACACCCACTGGGGCCTTCGGTGGAGCTCCCTATGGGGCCACGAAGCGCTGTACTGCGTGTGGCGGACGCATGTGGGCGCCCCCACTGGGGCCTTAGGTGGAGTTCCCTATGGGGTCACGAAACGCCGTACTGCGTGTCGCGGACGCACGCGGGCACCCCCCTTGGGACCTTCGGTGGAGCTCCCTATGGGGCCACGAAGCGCTGTACTAGGTGTGGCGGACGCATGCGGGCACCCCCACTGAGGCCCTCGGTGGAGCTCCCTATGAGGCCACGAAGCGCTGTACTGGGTGTGGCGGACGCATGTGGGCACCCCCACTGGGTCCTTCGGTGGAGCTCCCTATGGCGCCACGAAACGCTGCACTGGGTGTGGCGGACGCATGCGGGCACCCCCAGTAGGGGCCTTCGGTGGAGCTCCGTATGGGGCAGCGAAACGCTGTACTGGGTATGGCAGACGCATGCGGGCACCCACTGGGTCCTTCGGTGGAGCTCCGCATGGGGCAACCCAACGCTGTACTGGGTGCGGCGGAAGCATGCGGGCACCCACTGGGGCCTTAGGTGGAGCTCCCTATGGGGCCACGCAGCGCTGCACTGGGTGTGGCGGACGCGTGCGGCCACCCCCACTGAAGCCGTTTTTTTTAGCTGGGACCAGGCTCACGCAGCACGAGCTCAGGTTCAAGTAGCCGCAACACTGGCGGCCGCGGCTAGCGGCAGGCGCAAGCCTAGGGGAGCCGAGCGGCAAAGAGGCGAGCAAGCCAAAAGGGCCGGCTCGCCGCCGCCAGGCCGAGCCCCCAACACATCACCGAGCCTGCGCCTTCGGCTGCACCGCCCTTGGCCTCAGCCCGAGCCCGATCCTTTCGACCTTCTCGAGGCGATGCTGCAAACCACGAGCGCCCCATGGTAGCTTGCATTATGCGGACAAGCCCTTGTGCTTGCCTCCAATCACTCTCGCATAGCAATGACAGCGCGTGCAAATGCGATACCAAAAGATGGTCGTGAGAACATGCCCGCCGCCCGCCACTCCTGGAACCCCTGTGCCGTCACCAGCGGTCGACGACGCAGCGCTGGGGCCAGAGGGGCAATCGAGGGCCTCCGACCAAGACTGGTCGGCGAGCTCGAGCGGCGAGACGAAACAACACAACCTTGCGAGGCAACCAGACTGCTGGCCGCACTGCGAAAACAAGACAAATCGGCGGGCGCACACTCGCCGCCGCGGGCCCCCCCCCCAGGGCTTCTGCAGCGGGGCTTGGAGGAGACCCGCGGGGCCCCGAGGGGAGAAGCGAGGCAGGCCCATCCACATAGCTCGCGCCGCCAGCCGAACCCTGGCCACACGGGGCCTCAGCAGCGGGCCCCACGGGAGCGCGCGCGCAAGGTCCGACTGGGGCGCCAGCAGCGGGGCCTACAGGAGCCTCGCTAGCACTGGCAACATCTTTCTTAGCCGATGTCGAGCGCACAGACCCGCTCGAGCTCGCCCCAGACGCTGCCGGCAACAGGTAGTCGATCTTCTGCTGGGCTGTCTTGAGAGCCTTTGGCCTTCGGCAACTCGGTGCTGCCGTCGCCTGTAGCCTCAGCAACTGTCGCCTCCTGTTGGGCCTGCGCCAACGCGGCGAAGGCCGCCGCCGCCGCGGCCGCCGTCGCCGAGGCTGCTCGAGCAGGTCGCTTCTTCGAAGTACTGCTAGAGTGCGACGGGGCGCACGGCTTGGGCGCGCAGGGCTTGGCCCAGAAGTGCGCTTTGATGTTGCTGCTGCACGCGGTCCTGAGGCAGCACAAACAGTGAACGCCCCCATTCGGCACCTCGATGACTTCGTGAGCCGCGAGATACCTCTGAATATTGTTGGCCTGCTGCGCGACCTTCTCGCCCGAGATGTCAGCTCTGCCATCGGCAGCCATGCCGCCAGCAATCGAAACCCAGAGAACGCGGCGTCGAGCATGGTCTGCCTCGCCTGGATGATCTGCCGAATGGCGTCGGGAGCGCCGCCTTGAGCAGCAATAGACTTGGCACACCGATCAGCTTCGACGTTGCCTCTGCGCGCTCTGGCGGTGACCTGGCCCTCTTGCACGCGCTGAACAGAAGCGTGCGCCTCGACCTTGACAACTGCGAGGCCGCCTGCGCCGAGCCCCGCAAAGTCCTGCACTGCGTGCCAGACGCGAACCCACAGCTCCGCCCAGGCTGCCTTGCTGCTGGCGGTGGCCACCGGGCCACGAATATTGATACAATTCACCACAAACACAGCGTCAAAATGAGCCGCCACTGGTGCAATGGCGTTCTTGAGAAGCAGAAGAAGTGTCAACGGCAGGCCGCCGCCAATGGACTGCAAAGCACCAGCCAAAGGGGAGGCCAACGCACGCGTGGCAGACATTGGCCCAAGGTCGACGTGATCGCCGCCGCTGGGCAACGCAATAACGGCACATCCTGCACAAGCAATCCTGGTGCCACCGTCGACGCAGGCTCCATCTGCGAACAGGTCGGGCCCTGCACACGGCAAGCCCTCGTCGCAGCCCTTCACCCACTGCGCGCGCTCCAGGGCGTCGCCACCTGGCGGCCTCCACTCCGCGAGCGGTTCTGGCAGAAAAAACCTATCTAGCAGAGCCCTGATCGTGATGGAGCCGCCCTTGCCCTTGAAGCGCCCCAGCTCCTCTGGAAGGATCAAAGACGGCCAAGAA